AAAAAAAAAAAAAACAAAAAAAAACAAAAAAAAAAACAAAAAAACAAAGAAAAGAAAAAGGTGGACCATAATGAACGGAAGAAAAATTATATATAATGGCTGTAAGATAAGACACGATATATTAAATATACATACGTTTATTATTTGTACATATCAATATTTACGGCTTGCGATGATTCTTGTGAATCCCGCACCGTCGCAACGCCTATGTTAAGACGTTTCAGTTTCACATTTTTCCTTCGGAGAACAATAGTTTAATTGTTATTTCGAGGCGTGATCAGAGCAAAGGAGATGTCAAGAATTCTCGACGCCGACTTAGCCTTCATTCAAATTGCAATGATATTATAATTACTCGGATAGTAGGATGTTCGTTTGAATTAAAAATTAAAAATACAATATATTGTAAGAAGACGACGCGTGGTTTTACTCATTTATCTCTCTTCCTTCCGGTACATTTCGCCCATTACTCCCACCTTATTGTACAATGTTGTAGCGATGCCAGCGAGTAAAGTACTGTTTTTCTAAAAGTACCCAAGCTATGCCAGCGGTCAACGACCAAGCGGTCGTTTGATCGTCTAAGAAGAGGTAAATGGATTATTAAAATGTTAAAATGTTTACACATGGATTATTCGACTTTGAAGTAAATCGCACGGTTTTATCTTATCTTGAAAAAATATGTTTTCACACCTTTATAAGATTTGTTTAATCTTCATTTCTACTTTATCATTATTCATTACTGTTTTATCATATGCTAAGTCTTGCCATTAATGTTTATCTACTACTGTTTAGTAACGTCAATTGACTCTTAAGGGCGAATCCGAAATATTTCTTTCTCTGTATTCTCATCGAGAACTGTTAAATTATATGTTTCCAATCAAATTAATCGTACTCTTGTTCAATCATAAAATCTTATAAAAATTAATGAAATCTAATCTCTAATCTATAATATATATATATATATATATATATATATATATATATATATATATATACTGTTATCTTGAATAAACATTAGTACTTTTTACTAGTCCAGTGGCGTCTTTAATTATAACTTAAATAAAATGGTATTATTAACATTAAATAATTATGAAATATTTAATCAAGTAATTTTATTATTTATTATTTACATTTATCTTAAGTAAATAATCATTTCGATATCTTCCTCAGTCTCCTCTCCATTTTTTTTCGTGCATTTACCTTGACTTATTGTATAATATATCATCAAATATATATATATATATATTTATTTATATTTATATATGATAAATCTTTTCTAAAAAAAAAAAAAAAAAATTAACCTATCGATTATATATAATCGTCACTCTTTAAATGTATTTGATTATGGTCACGAGTGTTTCGTAGATATGTTTTTGCCAAGTTTTAAACAACAAAAAACAAAAACAAAGAAAATGTAACGACAATGTTGAAGCTCAATATAGTTGACACCAAATAAGTTGTTTTTTTTTTCGCAAAATGACAGTTCCATATACGTATAAGATGGTAGATTCAATTGCTGCTCAATTGCAAAGATCATATTATTATACAATTTCTTTAAAATTTTCTCATATAAATATTTTCAAAGTGATATGCATTGATTTAAGAAAATAATAATTTGTCTTTCCAATAGGAAAATAATATGAATTCTAATCTGGAATACAGAAATACTAAATTCAACCAACCACTATCGTTCCAAATTACTAATTTAATTTTTTATTGTCGTTTATGATATTTTTTATTATAAATTCTACTATTTTTCTTTTCTTTTCTTAATTACAGAAGCTCTTAATGCTTTAAAGGCAATTATTTTTACTTGTTTTAATATTGTAAAAGAGACGATAAAGATAACATTTTTCTTTTATTACGTCTAACAATTTAGATTTTATATTATAACAAACATTATTTTAAATCACGCTAATTGAATTAGTCTCAGCAAATGAATCTGTCCCTTTCTATATACACATACATATGTTAATCCATGAACGTACACGCAGATACATACATAAAATTATGTACATTTTTCGACATAATATATTAAATATTAAACGAATATGTCTAATCCCCATATACGGTAATGGCCAATTTTTAATCTATCTGCAAGATACTCTGCAATCGTTCACAAATATATACAGATTATCGTGTAAAATTATCAATGCGAGATTTGATCTCTTTTACACGAAAATTGTAAAGTTTTTTTTTTTTTTTTTTTTTTTTTTTTTTTTTTTTTTTTTTTTTTTTTTTTATAATATTACGCAAAACTTTTTTATAATTACTGACTATAGCACTTAAACTGTGTACGCTTTAACAAAAACAAACATTCTCATAACTAATATTATGAAAGCATAGCGCATACAAAATATTACGTTTAATAACGGCTTTTACATACACGTTGCAAAGTTTAATTTAACATTATATCTTTTTCAACGCTATTTTTTTGTTTTTGTTTTGTTTTGTTTTTATTTCTTTTATCAATCGCTATAATATGCTATTATACTTTCACTCAGCTTACATATTGTCAAATTATATGTTAATTTAAACGAACGAGAGAATAAACGACGACTTATTCGATATTATTCTTATGGGTGGTTTTCAAAACATATACATGTTATCGATAATTGTTGGTTAACTTAAAACATGGAAATAATTGTCTACTGCGTTATTTATCAAAACATGACTATATTGTGCATATAGTTATCTTTTTCAACAAAAAAAAACAAAAAACAAAAAACAAAAAAAAAAGAAGATTTTTAAGGTTGCATAAAAGTGTCATTTATGAAATAAATAATCGATCCCTATTTCCCAAAAGGGCAATTAAATATTTAATTATGTGCAGGAATAATTTCGTTCAACTACGTTCAATGTACAATATTGCATATTGCTACAGAAATGTTTAAGTAATTACTTTGGAATATTTCAAAATGTTTACAAAATACTTCTAACTATTATCGTCTTTAAAAATAATGGTTGTTCTTGTGAGGCTGAGCTTTAACTTGAAAAATATACAGCAAAACTACATCACCAACTATTTGAAATGTCAATAGCATTTTCTTTTATTTACAAGGTATTATACATTTAATGAAATAAGTCTAACATTCTTTTAATCCTTACATTATTTGTATAATTATTAAAAGCGCGAATGAATACAATCAAATAAAACATATATATATTACCAATAAACATCTAACATTATCATTTTATAACTATCAATATATGTAAGAAAAATTCTATATTGAAAGAATAAGCGGAAACTATCTTATGCTCTTGAAAACAATTTTTAAACAATTATCTATAATGTACTTACACGATATCGGAAAAAGGGTATAAAATATATATATATTATAAACTATCAGGAATACGTATAAAAAAAAAACTTTAAATCCCAAATTTTACGTTGTATTACGATGTAACTGTATCATTACGTCGCAAAGGATAAATCAACGTTTCAATTATTCTTAAACATTTAGTTGAAATACTTTAATGTCATATTCAATGCAATATTTTGTTTATTTGTTTGATTGTTTGTTTGTTTGTTTGTTTTTATGTGTGTGTACATACGTATATATATATATATATATATATATATATATACCAAATGAGTTAAAATAATATTTTCTGTTCGTTTTTCCTATGAAATTCATCAAGCCTTGCTCTTCGTCATAATATATTAGTTTGTATTTTCTAATATATATTATTTGTAATTTTTCGATAAATATTGCACACGAGAACATGGAAGGTCATGAATTACAGTATATTATATAGCATTTTAAGATAAAAGACAATTTTTTCATTTTTCTTTCGTAATACATGAATCATGTATATGCATTTCACGTCCGAGCGTTTTTACACGAAAAATACAACGCGTATTCGTCAAGGTTCATTCATTAGCACAATGAATTTTTCTTACGTCGTAAAATAGTATTATGCAACGATATTAATGTCTCTTTCTGTTTTTAAGTAAAAGTCTTAAGTACTATCTGAATTAAGTATTAAATTGAATTAAATTGAATTGGTAATTGTTATTAATGTCGACACGTCGATAATAAACAGAATTTATAGTACTACGGCTCCGTCAATGCAAATCAATCTCACATCCATATAATAGTAGTTAATTTTTCAATACGACGTCCAGTTTAAATGAATTTTACTTGATTACTTACAGGCATCTGCCAAATTGAGCGAAAGTCATCCCCCGTTTAATCTGACTTAACTAATGGCTCGAATGAAAAAATTGATATTTTCTAGTCGTGTGTAGTTTTAATTCGAGTGCGCGAATGTGAAAAATAATTAGGGGGCCTATTGTATAAATTTGCAATTCATATCGATCGTTTTTGAGTTCTAAGTGTTTAGTGTTCCCATTATTCTGATAAACTGCCGTGACTACGTATTCGAAAATTCGTCTCCCAACACATTGTCCTACATACGCTAAAAGGAAAATGAACGACTAGCGTGCACAAGTGTGCTGAGAAAGTTCGTTGACGCGGTCAGTTGTTGAACGGCTAGATTATTCTTGTGGCTGAGGTGCCGAGACGTAGATCGTGGCTTATTAACAAATTCTCTCGCAATGATTAAGGACAGATAATCCGGCCGAAGTGACGGGGAAAGAGGGAGGACGCGGGCTTTAGTGTTGATAAACGGTGTTACCAGCGATCGTCGTGGCGTTAGTCATCAGCTGAGAGAATACGGACGCGGTGGTATTGGTTGCCAGGTCGGTACCTGCGAAGCCCTCGGGCGTCGTGGCGCTAAGCAAGATCGTGGAGAGTAATGTAGCGACGATGTTGGTCGTTGTTGTCGTCGTCGTCGTCGTCGTCGTCGCCATAGTCGTCGTCCTAATCCTGGGCATCTTGGTGGCCCGTTTGATGGCGCCTCCCGCTTTCTTGGTGGCGCGCTCGACGGTCGCGAGGACCGTCGCAGCGACAGTCGTGGCCATCGTCGTCGACGTCTTCGCAGGCCAGGTGTTCGCCGCGGTACTCATGAGATCCATGGTCACGTTAATGATGAGCCCGGGGCCCAGGGCGGGCACCGGCTGCGGGCAGAGCTGCTTGGTGGTGAGGGCAGGACCCAGGCAGGCGTCGAGCATGTAGGCGAGGATCGAGCCCAGGGTGAGACCCGTCGTATACGACAGCGTCATTATGTTACCTACGAATGTAATTTGTAACGAGAGTTGCGTCAGTAAGTCTCCCTCTAGCTGAGCATTCCACCATCAATTGGATAATTCGTAAACGCGTTTGTCGCGGCATGTCTCACGAGTTTGTACGTTTTTGTTTTGTTTTGTTTTGTTTTATGTAGGGGACGCGATGGCGGGATAAGGAGACACGCAGAAATTGGCCAAAGTTGAATAAAATGATTGAGAACTATGGGCCGAGTGTTGGATTAAAATTTCTGCAACTATTGGTTAAAGTGGCTCATCCGTGAATTCTTAATTCGTGCAGCGAAGCTGAATTTAGTAGAAATTCGCCAGGCCAGTAGGTCGTGCGTCGTTACCTTAGCGTATTTAAAATCACGATAGAGAGAGAGAGAGAGAGAGAGGGGGGGGAAGAGACAGAGAGAGCGAATATGTATGCGAGCGAGAGGCCTAATGCTAATGAAGTTGAGCCTACGCGAGGCTTACCTGCGAGCTCGCGATGCTCCTCGGGAACTTTGGTCGGGGCTTGGACCATTGGTACACTGCCAACGATGCCGTTGGTGACGCCGAGGAACACCGAGAGCAGAATGGCGTACAGCTCGTTGGAGAGGACGGGGAGGCGCCTCGGGATCGCGCACATCAGGAACAACGGGATTAGTAGTGTTCTGGCGCAGGCGAAATTGAGTAGTTGCGTACGCGTCCACTGGCACGGCAGGGTCGCCAATATCTGCCATTAAACGAACAAATTCGTTTAAGTTTGGTTGATCGTTGTAGTAGCATTGGAGAAACGCATTTTTTTGCCTTTTGCTATCGACTAGTCGAGAATAGCCTTGGCAGTATATAAGTTTATATAAGCTTTTTCGGGGTTGAATTACCTTTCCGATCACATCGGCGCCGTTAAAGGAGCTCATCAGTATTACCGGCATCCACGATCCAAATTTGCATGAGACGATCTCGGAAATGATGCCGGGGTAGAGACACAGGGTGACGAAATAGGCTATTCCGATGCTTGCCATGTACGGGTAGATGACTTTGGCGACGTCGAGTCTAGCCGTCAGTCCACCTAGATTCAGGATTAAAATTGCAAGTGGTGAATAGAGGATTTGACGAGTGCTTGGCGGGATTAGCTTGATTATCGATTGGCCGCTGCTTGCTCCTAGATTACTGAGTGGCTAAAGTTTTCGACGGCTTGGCGCTCGTCGCAACGAGACTCACCTCCTTACTTTATGCTTAAGCGCGACTGACGAGTGATCGACTGACGAGTCGCGTAAAAGGAGCAAGCAATGCCCACGGCACGGCCACGATCAGACACTTTTTAGTCCTTGCGCATGCACGCATCGATTCCATCGATTCAACGGGGCCAAATTATTCTATTGCAGCGAACTCACGTCTTATTCCCGACCACCTTTTACTCCTCCTGGCCTGGGTGTTCCCGTATCTGCCTCTCATCACGACGATATCCTCGACCTTGTAAGTCGGGCCAGCGCTGCCTGCCGAGTTGCCCGAGGGTGCGTTCGGGTCGTAGACCGGATTGCTGAAGGAGAACTCGAAGAATTGACCCGTTGCTGTTGGGGAAGGGAAGACAAGGGGATTTCGTCGTTGATTATAAAGTGAAAAGTTAATTTAGCGTTGCATTGCGCAATAGAGGAAAAATGCTAAGTCTCGCTCGATACGCGCACCTTCGATGTATTAGATTTTAATGTTACCGGTGCTAGATTATCAAGATTATTAGTGGAAGAAAGTGGCTGAATCGACTGAGTAGTTGATTTTGTCGTCTCGGATTCGGATTTTAGCGAGGCACTATCGTCTAGTAATACGTGTTAGCTTTTGACATTGCGTTCACGTTATTTTACTGCGAAATAAAGTTAAATAAAGTTTAACCGATATAGCGTGTGGACTCTTTGGCATCGTTTTTTAAAAAAAATTTACTTTAAAGTGCCATCGAATAATGTTTAAGTTGAGAAAGTGATAATTTACGCGCGATCGATGAAAGCCATTGATCTTTTAATTCGATCTCTATAAATAAACTCCTTGCTCGACATTTGCCACTTTAGTGGGCAAAATTACGCGATCATGACTCATTGCTTTCGAGCGCATTCGCTTGCAGCTCCTTCCCTCGAATTAACAAAATGCACCTATAAATACATACTGTTTGTCATGTCGATACTTCCACCGGCAGAATCGGTTCCCATGGGACTCGTTTGTAATTTCAGCACTCCATACTGACCTCTCGACGATTCATTCTCCTGATCGAGTGGATCCATCTGCCAAGAGTAAAATATTACCTCAATACCCGTGATTTAATATCGACTAGCCGTTAACATTGAAGCGATATAATCGATTGCCGGCATAAGTATAGAAGCGAAGCGCATTTCACCCGAATGGAAAATTAGAATGGAAGGCAATGGTTCCCTCACCAGGCCAGCGTCCTCTTGAGGCTCCAAGGTGATTTTATTCTTTTCTTGGCACATAGTGATGTAGTACTGGACGAACTCGGTCTTGTAAATGATTTGCTGCATGACGAAGCAAAGGACGATCGTGAGAATCGACAGGGCGAAGAACATGGACGTGTTGCCGCGTTCGTCGTTCACCAGAGACTTGGTTATTACTCGATTTATCGAGACCCAAAAGCCAGCGGCGCCTGCAATATGAGTGACGTTAATGGATTATGATTAAGTTGACGCTTGCCTCTCTTAGCCTCTTTAAGCAGAGTATTCGTCATTTTAATTACTTTCGCCAGCCATGACAGCCTGAGTGTAACGGCTTGGTAACATCGACGTGTATCCGTAAAAACTGGATTGTTGAACTGAAATTTTAAGGGATATATTATTTTAGCTCGCAATTTTATTTTCTCGTTTAATAATGCACGAAAGTGAAAATGAACTTCTATAAGAAATAATGAAATAAATAAAAAGAAAGCTCCATTATTTAATGTAAACTATCGTTGCTGTTATTCAAGTGTTTGTAAGTAAAACAGTGGATTATTCGCTGATGTTTTTAGAATGTATTTAGAATGTAAGCTCTTCTTGTAAAAGTAATAACTTTTAAGAAAGTAGATTAACGTAATACAATTATAATTATTTCATTGCTTAATTAATTACCTGTGCATCCTAAAGAAACTATGGCTACAGCCACTAAGTTGATGGTGTAGGAAGTTGCGACTCCAAAAACTTCCCACCATACTTCGCATATAACAACGAAGTTGAGCGTTAAGAAGGACACCAAATATCCTAAAAAGCATTAAAATAATTAACCGAATGTCCATAATTTATCAATCATTTAGAAACATTTTCTCGTTTTTTTTTTTTTTTTTTTTTTTTTTTTTTTTTGAATAACAATAATTATACATGTATACGTAATGTTTTATTAATCAATTATTTATGATGATTTTATTATTTTATTAGAGAAAAAACACAACGTTAGTAATATTGATTCACATCCATTAAACACATTGATAAAATCATGCCTGAGAACCGCAGAGGCTCTGTTAATACTGCAATGAGCAATTCTAATATGTTAATTGTTAAATTCTATATGATTAATTTAGTCTTATTTTTACTCACAAGTGTTATCGCCATTGATAATATTATATTATACAAATTAGGCATTACAGCGAAATGTGCTATTTGCATTTAAAATAAGGAAGAAAATAAATGATTATTAAGCTCAATCTGCGAAAAATAAGCAATGATTATTTGACATTATTTTTCAAGTTAATCAGCAAATTATGCAGTGTAGACAAACTACACTGTGGCCGGGGCTATAAATATATTGAATAATTTAATGTGATAATGTAATGGGGAGCTTGAAATTAAGAGAAAAAAAAATAAAAAACAAAAAACAAAACAGATGATATAATGCGTATTGGAAAGTCTGTGTAGAGATTTCATTGATATTCATAAAAATATAATCTAGTATTTTTAATAAATGTTTATTGAAATTATTTTCATAATAGAGTGAATATTATCTTCCCTTTTCTCCGTTTTTTCTCTTTTTACAAATACGTGCTTTTACATTTCATAGCGTAAAGAAACTCACCAAATGTGATTCTTGCACCAAGAGATAAAGTTTCAACCAATATATTGTTGACTAAGACTGCAAAGAAAGCCATTGTGATGTAAACAACAGACATGTCAAATATGACGGTTGTCCCAGGATATCTTGCTTGAAAATAATCTACCGCAATAACGAAGCTGCAAAAGCAAATTGTCAACTAAACAATGACATAACAATAACATTGCCGAAATATCTAACTTCGCGTCTTCTAATTAATTACTTGCGTTAGGCCGATTATTTTGGGTTAAAAATGGTGCAAACAAACTTTTTGAAACATTGACTGATAAGACTGAAGATAAAATTCGTTTCTTCGACGGCTAATTCAATATCGATTTAAAGTTTTTCCAATCCCATTTAGCCATATCTTAAAAGGATCGAGGATCTCAGAATTGGATATTTTATGCGAACTCGCGCGATAACGCAAAGCTCCGTATTTAGAATGGGGATAAGTAAGAAAACAGAGGGCAATTATCGTATCGAAGCTAAAATTTGGATAAATAATCTGGGACAATATCGTTATTGTACATTCAAAAGTCCTGGCACTGCCGCGCGTCATCATTTCGACGGAAAAATAGAATAGAATTTTCATTACGGGCGAGTTTAACTTTCTCCCCAATTGCTTGTGCAACGGTAGCGTAAATGGGGGCTAATTGGCGCTCGGTCGGTAAGGTTGAATCAGATGACGAAAGTCGTTAATGCGCGTCCCCTCGAAGCTATCACTCGACACCCACGTCCTAAGGTTTCAAAAAGCGATCTGGGCAACCTTACACGGCACGCCAAAAACACTTTCCCAAGAAATCTGAGATGTCCCGATTTCACGCTCGCGTCATGTCTCCACTGGCACGTGTGCCAATCCTCACAATATAATAATACTTCGAACGCTAAGCGCACACTCCTATTTTCCTTCCATCGCCCCCGTCGTCGTCCCCTTGCCCCTTTAATAACGATAGCGACGAAGACAGCCCCCTTCGCGACTCGGTTTCGCAGCGCAAAAGCAACAAAAGAACGAAGAAAAAAAGCGCGACCGACGAAGCGTCGCTGCACGACTGACGCACCAGCCGATCAACAAGACTCGATCAACGAGCATCGATCATTCGCGCGAGATCAAAGCCAATATTTCCAAGGCCGAGAAGCGCCAAAGCTCAGGTTGAATCCCCGTCGTTGACAAACCTGTTGTAGGGCAGGAGGAAGCCGGCTCCAGCCAGCATCAGCGACAAGTATATGAGATTCCACTTGTCGACGGGGGGCGACATCCTCGCGAACCCGTTCTCCCCGAGCTTCATCTCGTTCAGTCTCCTCGCCTTACCGAGCTGCACGTACCCCCGGCTCAGGTTCTCGTCCATGATCGGCTCCGCGACGGAGCTCCTCCCCGTCGGCTCGATCCTTCCAGACTCGCGGCAGAGTTCGCGCCTCCGCGTTCAGCGTCGCCCTGGCATGGCCCCGTCTCCACGTCCGTGGCGATGCTCCGCCTCTGGTTCCCGGGACAATATCGCGCCGTCCACAACGGGGGTTGGGGGATAGTGAGAGGGCGCATTGATTTCTGCGCGCGCAGGCCCGACGTCGCTCGCGCTCCTCTTTTGCGCGTCTACGCTGGCCCGCGCCGACGCGTCCAATCCCCCGGGGCCGCGACGGGAGCGCACCGTCCGGATCGCGATCGCATTTTGTCCAAGAATAATCCCGAACCCCGACTGCCGAGCTGTTATAACCCTTCTGCACCGGTGGGCTCGCAGCTCGGGGGTGCGTTCGCAGGGGCACGGCGGATCGATCCGCGTCGCCTCGTGCTTATTACTCTGCGTCCACGGAGTCTCTTCCTTCGCCTCGGATTCGATTGACTGATTTTCCAATCGGGGTGGCTCGTAATGACGAGGAGACACGGGATCGGGGGAATGGAATACAAGGGGGATGGATGATTGTTGCCAGTCGATGGAGCGCGTCGAGTGCTACGTCACACGAAGAAGTCATTGTCCGCTATTGAGCTTGATTATCCTCGAAAGTGATAAACGAATGGGAAGGATAGCCACAAGGATATAATACTGATTAAGGATATAATACTCGATCTTTATGTAGGTATTTCGGCATTTAATCGATTAGCAGCTTCGGGACTTTGCGCACAACGAGGTCAAAAACTTCTAATCCTATAATGATGGATCATTTGCTAAATGTAGATGGAAGAGCGAGTATTATGATTGAATCGAGAAAGGAAAGCAAACGAAATATTAAAGGATTAAACGAAAGTTCGTAAAAGCGTGTTTAACAAATAAAATGCAAATATCGTAGATTTAGAGACAAATTACGCGAAGACTTGTCCCTCTTCTTTTCTTTTTTCGATAAGGAGAAAATATCTTTGGCTTCTTATAATTATTTAAAACGTAAAAAATAATGATAATGTTTACAACATCCTCTCTGAAGAAATGATGCACTATGTAAATAATTTTAAATTAATCGATTTAATCGATAGATAACAATCATTACGATAACAGCACAATGTATATATGCTATTGGCAAATGTCATATAGAAAATAATACAATGATTATATCGGGTCTAATAATATTTTTAATTTGAATTTTATAAAATAAAATTTTCCAATTTTCATCCTGAGCGATATCATCCTCGCAATGGAAACGACGTCTGTTCAATTTTACCAAAGGAAAGAAAAAACGCGAGATTGCGTATTTACATTGCAAATACAACGAGACTAATACTTTTAACACATAAAGATTATACGAAAATGCTAGATATCGGGATTAAAAAGACTCGTGACAAAAGAGCTTCAAATGTAAAACTGGAATAACTTTCAAATGAAAGTGTCTGTCAAACGTAAGGAGAGTGCGCTGCTTTATATTTACAATCTGCGAAAAATGCGAAAAATTTAAAAATAGGATGGTTCTCATAAAATCCAGGTAGACAAATTGTTATTTTATTTAAAATATTCTTCGCGGTGTGTAATATGATATTATTGCATTATATTTTTTTCGCTTTATTCTTTCCCTTATGCCTTTATTTGCATATAATTAAATGCATTTCTTGAAAGAATTCGTGAATGACGATAATACGATTATTGACATTACCGACTCAAAAGTTTGAAAACGAAAAAGTTCGTTGGTTGTCCAAGAGATTTCTCGTAGGATATGAAATTCGTTTTAAAGTTAATTATATATATATGTATATGTGCCAATATATATATATATATATATATATATATATACACATTCACGTATTCGTGGCACAGGTCATGCATGGATTTGTTTACTTGATATTGGATTTTTAGGAAACGATAAAATTATAAATAAATTTCAGAGAATGTAATAATTTTATTCAAAATAAAAAAATCTCCTACTTTCCGACGTTATTTTCAATATAGTACGAGTACGTTATAAACGATATTGTCATATTTAGATTAAGAATTGAGTTGGAGCAACTTAATGATCAGGAATCGCCGTGTTCACAGCTCTACGTAAGGCCGTAATAAAATTGTTGTGCTGAGAAAGAAAATGATAAAAATGTGAAAAGTCAAGTAAATGTCAGAAATAGAAACTCAATTGACTATTAAATCATTGTGCCTTAAATTATTACCTTATGATATGAAATTTCGCCACTACTGTACTTTCCGCTCTTATCACGCTTATTATCACGCTCTCTATTCTCGTAATGAAATACCAAACATAAATTACATCGCATAATTAATTGACTTTTGCATAGAATCATGTACTCTATATTAGCTGCTGTTTTATTTAACATGAATTCTTACGTGACTCGCTCCAATGATTAATATAACATTTAATGTCTTCCACATTAAAGTAACAATAACGATTAAATTATTCGTAAATTATTTTTAATTTTTTACTATTAGATACATTTAGCATAACATAAAGTTTAGCAATCATAACGATAAAAAACATATATATGTATATTGATGTAAATCATTGGTAAATTAGATGATATTCAATTGGGTATAATGTAGTTTGGTAAACGATTATATTCATACATGGCAAATTAAATATTAATATTGCATATTGCAGTGATGTTTTTAAAATAAATCCTTCAAGACTGTCTCTGTTATAAATGGTAAGGATGCACAATGTGTGTGTGTTTTTTTTTGTTTTTTTTTTGTTTTTTTTTTGTTTTTGTTTTAATTGGTTTTTATTGATTTTATTGATTCGTACAAGTAATTAGTAGCATCAGATTGTTGACTAAACTATTTGTTAATGTTAATTGAAAATATTTACGTAGTTATCGAGATAATTTGTCTGTTTTAAATTTTCACCGAATGATACAACATAGTAGCGAGTCATTGTAATGGATAAATTAGGTGTAGAATGATGTTGATATTGATATTTTCGAGAATGACTTGAGAAGCGTTTCGAATCTGTCATCGCACCCACATCGAAATATTATACAAATGCTCAACTATTTGGAGCAATGTTTCATTTTTAACAAATTTTCTCGCAAATGTTGAGAAGCCAAAGTTTCGGACAATCGCGACGTTTTAAGCGTTTGATTTTAATTTAAGTACGTTTTTGAATTTAAATAACACTATATTGTCATTAAAAATAATCCTCTTTCGTTTTTAATTTACAGTACAGCATTTGTGATGTACTTTAAGTCTAAATTATTTTAAGTATATTAAAAAATACGAGAAGAAAGAAAAATTTTCTCACATATGAGGAATGAGTCTTGAAGCACCGTAGTCCGCAAAAATATCAAACATTTAAACGTTACAATAAAAAAAAAAAAATCGTCTATTTTAATTACATGCAGGCGATTATCACGTAATATTCGAAACAGTTCTACTCCAATTAAAAATAAATAAATAATAATTATGATGATGAATGATTGATACTTGGGTGCTGATTAAAATAATTGGTTTCTCCACCCGAAAAAAAAAAAAAAAAAAAACAGATTAAAAATTTAAATGCTTTACAAATGACAATATCAATTATTCTATTGTCTTCTTCAAACTCCTTCAAAATCAATACTAAAATAACAAATTTAAGCAATATATTATTAAAATTTGAAAAAAAGATTTTATACCTATGGATGACAAAACATTCGTTATATATTTGATATTTTACTTTTACGTTATAAAGTACGTAGAGCTTATAAACGCCACGAGGAAATAACGAAAATTGAATATATGATTTTTATAAACGATAACACCAATATTAGCATTATAAAGTGTACTCGTAAATTACACACATGTACATATATCTTTTTCCGTAATGTAAATACAATCTGAAAAATATTAATATTCAATAGCGAGGACTTTTTAATTAAAAACTACGATATTGAAAGCAGCGACGACGAGTGGCGTTCGTTCCAAGTGGATCGTTGTATTTTCATTACTGAAATCACGATTTGAGAGAGCAAGTATAGACGATTTACGACTCCATTATCTTAAATACTCGATAGCTTAGATAACAATACACTCGAGTGGTTTTAACGATCCTAGGAAAGCACTTTATACAATCACATCCATCGTACGATTATCATATTAAATGCGAAAATTAACGTAATGTAACGAGTATAAGTTTAATGACATTGGAGTCGGTTAGTACATAAATTATAATAATGCGAGATTATTTGCACAATAGTCGCTGGAAAGCTGCAGGTAGAATAAAAACTTATCTAGAATGTGCATGGAAGGAAATAGATTTACTTACAAAGAAAACATATTGTAACGCCCATTGTGCTATTATTGTGCTTGGCTCTAAAAACCAAAGTGTGCAGTATTAAAAGCACGATTACATCATGCGCTACGCTGCGAGATGGAAACCTTGTAAGACTTTCCCGAAATTCAATAATTAGTTGGCAAACCTTGAGGAACTCTTCGAGCGGCTTGAGCGTCGCGCACGCGATTTATCAAACCAAAGCAATAATATTGTAAGCCCTTGATCAGCGTTACCCTCCTCCTCGCTCGCTGCTCCCCAAAACCTAATTACAAATGAAAAGCTCAATGAATAAGGAAATTCAATTGCGCCACTGACCCCCTTGAGTCCCTCGTTCGCCCCGGCCAAGCGGGCCTTCGACACCCTCGCATCCACCGCATCCGTCATCACCGAGAGCTCGCTCGCTAAGGGACGTGAACTCGCGACATAACCCTACGAGTCGAGTCCTTGCCATTAAACTCGTAGTTTCTAGTTTTTCAAGATGCCGCGCAGATCGTGACTATCCGGCGCGCATACACGGAAAACGTCGAGAAGTTCGCGAAACCGCGGGCTGAACTCCACGGCGGGGGCGCGCCTGCGCACTTGTCGCCCCTTATCATTTATGAATCAGCTGATCAGCCAACGGCTCCCAGGGGCCGTTGTGTTTCGTCGTTGCGTTGTGTGTACAGTGGTACGCTGCGACGACGACGTTCAACCGCTCTCCAGAGGCTCGCCCGACTCTCCCGCTTACCCACCGATCCTTAATATTGCGAAGCGAGGATGTCTCTGAACACGGCCCACGCCAATGGCGGCGTTCTTATACACGCCGGCGAATGGTAAGGATAATATTACGAAAGTCCCCTACGAGGACTACACTCACTTGCCTCTCGTCTTTTTCCCTCCCCCCCCCTCTCCCCTCTCCCCCCTCTCCTCTCTCTCTCTCTCTCTCTCTCTCTCCCCCGTCGACTTCGGTATTGTCACGGCGACTCTATCTCTTTGGACAATCGTTTATTGGAGATGCATCGCGAGGGTACACGAGAGGATGGACATTTTGCGCGACAATGGACCTTGGCTACTCGTCTCGGGAGTTGCGTCATGCGACGCAATTGCGCAAGATGTGCGAGAAAACTTCGTTCGACTCTCGACCTTGACGCGCTGTCGCGCTTTTCATCGATCCGACGCTTGTTTTTGTTGACACTTGCCGCCTCTATGGGCACGTTGATTATTGCCAATGTTTCCACTTAATCGAGCGTTTGCCCGTTGTTAACGGCTTATTATCCGATTTATTCGAGATGCTGAAAATTTAAATGCAAGGTTATAAAGGGGATGTGCTGGACGCTGAGGAACACGTCGGTTATTGTAAACAGAAAATGGTCATCCTTGTTGTTTCGTCGGTTACACACAGATCCCGTCGATTTCTTAGATTCCATTACCAAGTGCGCAACCGCGAGCTTCCTTTGGCCAAATATTTTTTATCCCCATATGCCTGATCTACCTCCTCATTGATGAAAGCATTTCTTGATTTTTCAGCATATTATTGTTTAGCGACAATGTAACAATGGAGTTTCATGGTCAGGAGCAGCCGGAGTTCCTAAATACTAAGAAGGGACGGTTGTATCTGACAACACATAGAATGATATTTAATGCAAAAGACCAAAGGGAAAAGATGCAATCTTTTAGTTTTCCATTTATTACACTTAGAGAAGTAGAGGTAGAGCAGCCTATGTTTGGTGCCAACTATATTAAGGGCAAATGTAGGGCACAGCCAAATGGTAATTGGATCGGAGAGTGCAAGTTCAAGTTACACTTTCAAAGCGGAGGAGCCATTGAATTTGCATCGGCGATGTTGAGAGCCGCGCAATTAGGTACTACTTTTAGTCTTCTATTGCACTTATGCGCGCGCGCGCGTTTCAAGACAGAAGATTAGTATTTTTTAAGTAGACACGTACCAGTCTACTTTCTTGCGAGTAATTGGTCGTTCGATTTTATGTTTAGTCCAAAGAAATGGTCCGGACTTTGATGCTCCACCAGCTTATCAACCACCTTCGACGAATTGGTACGCAGCCCCGCCACCTGCTTATCAACCTGCCCCTGGATACTACGGCTGGATGCCACCTTCCGGTGCATTCCCAGATCAACCACCAGGTTATTATATTCAATAAGTTTGAATATTCGGTTAGACGCTTACCTTTATCGAGGTTAAACTTAAAAGTGCGCCAATTTGTCGACGCTTTTAACATATAATCTAGCATCTCGATATCCAATCCTGATATTAAAGATAAAAAAGAACATGGGTCGACCAATTGACCTCGATTGCATTGGCATAATTAAAAGTTTTTATCGCAGAGCGACAAAGAAAATGAATACAATATAATTAAGTGGATTATTGGCATACGATTGCAATTATATTAATTAAAATAATTATACTTTATGCGACATAGTCTAAAGTGACTTTGTATTATTCTATGCTTTCGCTTCTTGTTGAAAGGTAAGATTTTTCAGTGCACGATCGTTAGAGAATTAAGACTTAACCAAAAAACGAAACTTTTTTTTTTTAATTGTATTTCAAATGTGCGGCAACTGGCACGTATCGAATGTTTTCTTAACAAAGCACCAATGAAACGCAAATAACACTGTAATGCAAAGAATATCAGTGCAGGCTGGCTTTACAGCGATAATGATGCAGAAGTAGCTAAAAGTAGCCAATTTAACGTATCGAAACAAATAGTAAACGGAACGATGACTAGTGCAACTGTTATGAAATATTATTGGCAATTTAAGGAGCCAATAAAGAATGCCCAGTGCTAATAGTATACTTTTCCACAGCAAATAGTGTATTCATGACAGACATGCCACCTCCGTATCCAGGGATAAACACATCGTATCAGGGATACGCAAGCGGTGGAGCACCCCAACAGCCTGGAGCATGGGGTGCCTCGCCTCAGCAGCATTCGCATCAGCATGCACAACAGAATGGAGCGCCTGCCTGGGCTAATCCCAATTACAATGGTCAGCTGATGTCCCAAGCAGGTGTGTACTCCAATTATGGACAGCCCGCACAACAAAATTATCCGCAGAATCCCCTGCCGTACTCCTCCTACACACAAGCTCAAGGTTACGGTGCTCCGCAGGGTCCTTATTCACCTCTGCCGCAGGGCACTTATACACCCCAGCAGCAGGGGCCGTACGGTCAGCCACAAGCTGGACCCTATGGTCAGCCAGGAGCTTATCCTTACTCCCTTCCCTATTAGAAGCAATTTATGTAACGAGTCAAACTATCTTTGGACAACCTCAAGTCCTTCAGGCATATCATTTCTCTCTTGTTTTCGATTACTCATCCCTTTTATTATTTAAAATTAAGCATTTACCATTAAAGTGATGTAGGACAAAGTCATTAGTAGCTCATGCCGTTGTCTTTGAGAGAATCTCAGAATTTTATAATTAACTTGAATTCTCAATTTGTAAATGATGGATAATGATTATTGTAGCTATTTTTTATGGACATCTGTTATAAACTCTAAATGAAACTATCGATAGTTCAACAGGTCAATTAAGAATTCAGCATTGCTAAATTACAAAATTTTAATATAATCTTAAAAGTCTTTTAAAACACAAATAGCTTAAGATCGAATGGATTTTACACTTTTAAGCCACTTCCATTAGTGACACCGAATCGAAAGGAAACATATAGATATATTATAATTAGTTATATAATACCAAAGTTAAGTGATGAAATAAATTAAATTAGGGCAACTAAGTAACTATTGTGCGCTATTTGTCTTAACATTATTGAAAAATCATAAGATCATTGCCATTTTTAAGGATGAAAAAGTTTGACTAAATTTCAATGTTTAACGCCTTCATCTGCCAAACTTGTTACTTGTTCTCGGCTATTCACATAAATTATCACGAAAATACGTGACTACTATTATTATACTTTTATATATTTCATTGTATATTCATATTTAAGATATTTATAAGAAGATTGTATTTTATATTCTCTTAGAACCAAAAAGAAAAAAAAAAATCTTTAAAGATTCAATGCGCCGTAAGCGTGTCCTGTAATAATATAGTATAGTATTCATGATTAATTGTTATAATCCTGTTGTTGTGATCGAAGCTCTATATAATACTCGAAAATTGAAGCTATTTGTCACTATTAAATATTGTCACATACTACTATGCTGTTTTTTTCATTTACGAACCTCTCAAAAGTTTCAAACAAACAAACAAACAAACAAAAGGGAAAAACGTGACGACGACGACGACGACGACGACGACGACGACGACGATTACAGTTACGACTACGTTACGACGACACGATGACGATGGCGATGACAATAATAATGATATTGATGACGACAACGCCAACAACAATAATATGTTTATTAATAACTAATAATCACAATAGTAATGATAATAACGTTAACGATTACGATAAACAACGATAAAGCGCGTAATGGGTAATACTTTCGCGAGCCGAGCCACATATGCTGATTTGCATTCACGAAATGCTAGAAAATACATGAGAAAAGAGAAAAAAATCGCAAGACGACTAATTGGATGTTTTGTGATCGGCGTGCATTACGACATCGCAATTTAGCAATTTTGCCGGGAAATGCGGAGAGCCGCGCATTGGAAATGTTTTGAATATTATGTAATAAACGAGATATTGCATAAGCGGGAGGGCCCGCGCGTCGCCGCCACACACTTTAACTGACCCGCCGCCGTCTTATTCGCATTCGTGCTAAGAAGGTTGGCTAGCTTTCACCTCCGCAGCTCCGCAGCTCTCCGGACTTATTATCTCATTACTTTAAGTCACAGTCGGCTCGGGAACGGACGCCACCTTCGGCTCTCTCGCGTCTCTGTTTGTTTGTCTTTCCTTCGCCTCGTCGCGCTTGACGCTACTTATTTCGCTCTCGCCGCCGTCCGCCTCTAATTGAAAGTCGCGCGCGCGCGCGCGCGTTCCCGTTGAAATTGGCATTACGTCCAACCGCTCTCTGCCGTTGCTGCCGTTGCTGCCGTTGCTGCCGTTGCTGCCGTTGCTGCTCCTGCTCCTCCCGTTGTTGCTGTTACCGTCGCTGCTGCTGGTGCCGTTGACGCCGTTGCTGCTCCTGCTACCGCTATCGCTGTTGCTGTCGCAGCCGCTGCCCCTACGACGACAATTACTACTACTACTACCACTACTACTACTACTACTACCACTGCTACTATTACCACAACTACCACTACTGCGACCACTACTAATATCACCACCACCTTACCACTTAACGTTACTATTAACTATCAGTACCACTACCACTGTTCACTGCTACTCAGTTACCCGTTCCCAACTGGCAATTGGCAATCCAGGCTTTTTCGTTATTTCGACGCAACTCCGAGCTCGTTTTAAACAGTATGCGATTAGGAAGAGGAGCATTATTAGCGAACTGATCAAGCATTTGTGCAATCATGCCGTCGAAAAGTAATTTTGGTGCACCGAAGGTGGCCCCTTGTGCGTGGTATTTATTATGCGTATTGTGTAAAAACGAAAAACTTTTTCTCTATTTATCAAAATTTATCTCGATTTCAACTCCTCCTACATTATCCACTCGGTATTATTCACGCCTGAAATTTCCATCAAGATTTATCGCCAACTCGTATCCTTGCGATATATTATTATTTCCAATTCGTTTACAATTTATACGCCCAATTACTTTCACTTTCGTGCCTATCCGTAAACTGTGTGCGTTTATTTTGAGTGGACAAGATTAAGTATTAAGTAACGCTTTATTATCTAAAAGTTCTATCAATTACCACACCTGTGAATTATTTCATTTTGAAAATTTACAATCTTGCCATTATTTCATATTATAAAACCTATCTTGTCTCATCGAGAGGTGACCATAAAGAATTTCTTTTCCCATGTGTTGCTAAACAATTTCAAAATTTCAAAATTATATTCTGACGCTTTCACGCTATTTCCTACTTCTTTCACAATCTATGCTCGTAATACTTTTATCTCGATTAATTCTCTTTCCTAATATCTAAGATTCCTACATTTTTATATTTTTATTTTATACGTGAGCAACGGACGCTGGGGCTTCGGATTATACTCTCAATGATATTTTTATCAGATTGCAAATCTTTAAATTATATTCCTATTTTGGCTTAAAGTTATTATTAAAAAAAAAAAAAAAAAAAAAAGAGAGAGAAACATCTTTTGTTAATTTCCATTGTCAGATAAATTTTACTTTATTTTCATTTTCATTTACATTTATTTCATAAATTTTCGTTAAAGTCACACATTCGTATTGCAATTTCAAACCTTAATTAAAAGTTTTTTTTTTTTTTTTTTTTTTTTTCTTTCGCTACTTTTCGTTTTACACAAATTTAATATTTAATTAGATATGTTAAAACCAACTCTTAATATTAAAAGTAATGAGATTTTTAACGGTTTCCGATAGATGCAAAGGCTGCAGAAGCTGCACAAAGTGCTTATTACGATCCCAACAGACCACAATGTGCGTATGTTCCACCACCAGCATACTATGTAAGTCGAAATAATCTTAAATTTCAATGTCAGAGATAATTAAGATTGGGTTTATTAAGCAGCATTTTTAATTGTATTTCTAGGAAAGTCCGCCGAGCTTTCAACAAGCAACGGAAAAAAAAGACCATTGAAGATAATGGATACTCGAGGCAAGACTTGATTCTCAGTCCCCCAGAAATATGTTACATGCTAAGCAAAAAAGAAAGTCATCAATGTCGTTATTTTTATAGCACTATACTTTTTAATGCATAGAGAAATTATATTCTTAGCATTCCAGCATATTTTAACAAATTTGATTCTAAAAACTTTTGCATTTACAAGTAGCGTGACACACTGCAAGCTTCTTGAGAACAACAGTAATTAATTATTGTATTGACCTTAAAGGTTCCTTAATTCTTTCATTTAATACAGTATTGTAGAATTTTCTTTATATTTTAATTGTTTTAGTAATAACAAAATCTCTTCCTCAACTTTTTTGTAGACATTGCATCATTTCAAAATACCTATCTATATTTTTCACAACAATTTAACATTGCATTATTCACTTTGGTTCGCAAAGTGCTACATTAAACTATTGATGGCATCCTTTAAATCTTTTACGGCATTCAATTTTATTGTCGTATCCTCTTTAATTCCTTTCTTTTAATCCAGTCTCTTTTTTTTTTTTTTTTTTTTTTTTTTTTTTTTTTTTAATCCTTGACAGTAAACTTCCAATAAAAACATCCTTCAAATAATTTTTATAATAATTTACAATTGATATATATTAAGTCCTACACTGGTATTGCTTTTACTTTTGGTCAAAGATTTATATAAAAAGGTATAATGAAAGTGAATCGTGAATTTATTGAATTTTGATTTATATGTGCTGTATCGATGGTGAAAAAAAAAAAAGAAAAAAAAAATCATAAAAATGGATTCCAAATCATAGACATTAAAATTTATAATTCTATGTCCAAAAGATTCTATGTCCGTTTACATGTATGACATTTTTTAATCTAATTTTTCTTTTTTTTCTCTCTCTCTCTCTTTCTTTCTTTCTTTCTTTCTTTCTTTCTTTCTTTCTTTCTTTCTTTCTTTCTTTCTTTCTTTCTTTCTTTCTTTCTTTCTTTCTTTCTTTCTTTCTTTCTTTCTTTCTTTCTTTCTTTCTTTCTTTCTTTCTTTCTTTCTTTCTTTCTTTCTTTCTTTCTTTCTTTCTTTCTTTCTTTCTTTCTTTCTTTCTTTCTTTCTTTCTTTCTTTCTTTCTTTCTTTCTTTCTTTCTTTCTTTCTTTCTTTCTTTCTTTCTTTCTTTCTTTCTTTCTTTCTTTCTTTCTTTCTTTCTTTCTTTCTTTCTTTCTTTCTTTCTTTCTTTCTTTCTTTCTTTCTTTCTTTCTTTCTTTCTTTCTTTCTTTCTTTCTTTCTTTCTTTCTTTCTTTCTTTCTTTCTTTCTTTCTTTCTTTCTTTCTTTCTTTCTTTCTTTCTTTCTTTCTTTCTTTCTTTCTTTCTTTCTTTCTTTCTTTCTTTCTTTCTTTCTTTCTTTCTTTAATGATAAAAGATAAAGAGTCTTATTATTCGCTTCTTTGTATGTTAAGTGCCATTGAATTAATATTTCCAAGTTCAAATTACTTCTAGCGGTTAAGCAGACCCAAGTCAGCGAAATCAAAGCACTTTGTCAACGAATACTTTTATTTTAACGATCCATACCCGTCAACGTTCACCTTGACGAACAAACCAAAATTTAATGCAAGTAAAGGCATTACGTCCCAACTTATATATTATCTTGAAGAAAGCCAAATCAACTAAATTGTGTTTAAACGTACGTTCCTTCTCCTTCCTCCTCCTTCCTTCGACCATAATTATACTACATTGGTGTTTGGCATGTCCAAGGCTACGATAATACAATATTATTCATTTTACCAAGCTTACGGAAGTCGGCAATCATTATGTGCACCAGCATAATTGATCATTATCCGATCGAGACAACAATCCATTAAGACACGGAGAAGCTAATTGCTAAAGCCAATTAATTTAGCGCCTCCGAATTTGAAGCGAGCCAAGTCCTTGGTCCGACTAACCCACATTATTTTTTTTCTTTCTTTGCTTTAACACGAGTGAAAGTGATTGCTTTGTACTTGAATTTAAAACCTCTTATCGTACGCTTGTTTTACCAAGCTCAGCCTCCTATCGGCTGATTATACGAACAGCGAGTGACAAATTCAATGTTGGA